CTCGAGAAGGAGACCACCTACGAGGAGATCTGCGCCGAGATGAAGAAGCGTTCGGAGGGAGACATGAAGGGCTACCTGGGCTACACGGACGAGGCCTTGGTGTCCACGGACTTCGAGACCAACCCGATCTCTTGCACTTTCGATTCCAAGGCTGGCATCATGCTGGATCCCACGTTCGTCAAGTTGGTCTGCTGGTATGACAACGACTCCAAGCCTTGATTGAGATTGTTATACACTATGTCACTACGTCTTAAGAAGGAAGTCCTGAGAAGAAACACATCTGATTAGTTTCCCGAGGGCTTCCAAACACAGCCTAGACCCTAAACTAAACCCTATCCAGAAGCCCCAAACCCTGAACCCAAGGAGTGGGGCTACAGCTGCCGAGTTGTCGATTTGATCAAGCACATGGCCAAGGAGGATGCCAAGGCGTAAACTGCCCACCCCAGGCTGCAACCGGTTTAGAAAGTAGAAGATGTCGCGGTTGATGAAATCAACCGCCTCTTGCTCCTCCTAGACTCTTGGACTCTTCGAGCTCAATTTTCCTTATCGCTGCCGAGCGCGAGGCATCCCCTGACAAACAGAGTGTTCTGTGAGTTTCTTTACATGCAGGTGTCAATGTGTGCAGCGACGACTTTTTCACTGATACTCAGGAGGTTTAGTTTAGCTGCTTGTTTAAATCTGTTTCTAGAACATGCTTTCAAAAACTGCTTCAACTACGAGCTCCTGCGTAGCACTGTACTGTACCTATAGTCTCCATTGTAGTTCCTTTTTGGGATTACCTTTTAGGAGCATTAATATAAAGTTGGTGAAACCCAAAAAAGGAACTACAATGGAGGCTATAGGTAGTATAGCCTCAAACCTTGTTCTATTCATCAAGGTGCCAACTATCTTCGGCCACCCGAAGCATCTAGAATCCGGCTCTCGCTGGGCGTATTCTATAAAGCGGCTGAAGGGTAAGAGTTTGGGATCCAGGGTTTGGGTTTAGCGGTTTCGGGTTTCGGGTTGGGGGTAGTAGGGTTTGAGGTCTAGGGTTTTTCAATCCATAAGCTCGAGCCTTCGCAAGTTGATGTTCTCGCTTTCCCACGCGCTTCAGTGTACATTGAGTTTTCAAACCTACGCATCCTTGCACATAATTCGGAGCTAGCAACGTGTTACATACCCGAAATCCTGCATGCGAGTTTCGGACGTGCTGGGGTTCTAGGGTTTTGGGTAGACGGGTAGACCCAAAATTGCAAGCACCTCAGTTTTTGAACCCCGCCCCATTTCTTAATTCTTAAAAAACCTTATAAGCCTAATCCCTATAAACCCTAAACCGCAAAAGGTTGGGGCTCTTGGATGACGGCCGCTGCTGCCGCCTGCTGCCCAAGCCTGTGCCCAGGCGGAAACTCTCGAAGGAGGCGGGTTTCTGGGGTTGGGGTTAGGGTTGCTTTTCGGCTTTCCTGTAAATTTGTTGCAATGGCATCGCCGCAGAATATAGGTGACCGCTACAGGAAGTCCAAATGTCACTAATGTAACCGTAAGATAAAATGTCACTATTGTAACCGTAAGATAATATTTTGAACTACTGAGAGCTGCACACCAAACCCCAGCAGCAACAGTGCCTGCTTTAGCACACAATTAAGATCTAATAAGTAGCAGCTTTATTCTTTCTTGTGTATTGCGTTTGTTCTAGACAACATACATATGCATACACACACACACATATACACGTGTTACGCATGCACGTGTTACACATACGCATACAAATGTACGTGCGTACGTTACATACATACATACATACATACATACATAAAATTGCATGCGTGTCAATTCATAAGTATGTATGTGTGTTGCATGTGCGTACGTATGTAACTATGTATGTATGTATCTATCTATCTATCTATCTATGTGTATGTATGTATGTATGTATGTATGCATGTATGTATGTATGTATGTATGTATGTATGTATGTACATATGCATGCATGCATGTATGTTTGTGTATAGGAATATACAGATATAAGTACACACATATTCATGTGAGTAAATTTGTACAACCATGCATATTCATACGTACATACATATATACATATGTATATATATATATATTTATTTATTTATTTATACGCATATGTATATATATATATAAACATAATTTATCTATGCAGGCATGTATTCATATATGTGTACATCCTTTTCCCCTTTTAAACTGACTGTAGGTATGTAGGTAGATACATATATATATATACATATATATATATATATGCATGTGCACACATACACACATACATACATGGATACATCCATCCATCCATACATACTGCTTACTCACACCCACATATATATATATACACATGTATATATGTATATGTATATGTGTATGTGTATGTGTATGTGTATGTGTATGTGTATGTGTATGTGTATATGTGTATATGTGTATGTATGTATGTATGTATGTATGTATGTATGTATGTATGTATGTATGTAGTGTAGCACACTTGTGTGCGAAATGACAACTCCTAGCTTACACTCACAAATCCATCGGAGTGCACGC